GCCCTCACTATAAACCTGAACCAGCCCTAACTATAAACCTGAACCAGTCCTAACTATAGACCTGAACCAGTCCTAACTATAAGCGTTATCAAAGAGAAAAGTCTTAAGTCTATTCTTAAATGTGGTGAGTGTCTCTGCCCCTGGACTGAAACTTGAAGCTGGTTCTACACAACAGCAGCTTGATAACTGAAGGATCTGGTTCTTGCTCTACTTTTTAAGACTTTAGGAACCACAAGTGAGGGAGTGCAGCTCTCTAGTAAGATAATATAGTTCTATAAGCTCCTTAAGATCTGATGGTTTCTGACCAATCAGGGCTTTGTAGGTGAGGATTTTAAATTATACTCTCGAGGAGGGTTTATTGTTTTAATCAGAATACTTTCTCACGTTGTTTTCTGTGAGTATATTTATCTTTATATTTTGCCTCGAACAGTGTTAAAGAGTGTTGCATTCTGGGTATTGTTTTTGTTTTGTCCAGGTGTGTCTCGCTCTCCAGCATGAAGACAGGTGATCAGGTCTAGACCGTCCCTGGTGGACCTGGACTTCCTGTGGTCCCCCTTGTCTGGTTTCCATGATGTCATCAGCGCGGTGTCGTGTTGGCCCCTCCCACCTCTCTAACTCACCTGCAGCAGGTGACCTGATGTACAGTTGAGTACAGCAGGAAGTCCAGCTGGAATGTGTGCTGAAACCTGAGCTGGCTGTAAACTCACACCTCTGTCCCCTCTGGAACCAGGAGCAACCTGATCCGGGTTACCTGACACCTCCTCATTCTCAGTCGTGTCCTCGTCAGTCTGCTCGCCGCCCTGCAGCATGGCAGACGCCGGGGCCTGGAGGACGCCACAGGACGGCTCCCGGATTCTCCAACTAGGACCTGGACCTGGACCAGGACCAGTACTTGGACCAGGACCAGGACCTGGACCTGGACCAAACCGTGTGTGGATCTCTCTGATTGCAGGTGAGATTCTGACATCATGAACAGTAAAGGACTAGTCCAGAGCTCTAAACATACGGTCTGAAGTCTTAAAACCAGCCAATCAGGTGAGGTTATCTCGCCCGTCACGTGTCATGTGACCAAAGGGTTGTTTCAGTATTTCTGAAGATAAACTGACCTGAGAACAGATCTCAGGATCACCTTCAGAGTTAGTGAAGCACAATATATATATATTATATTTATATATTATTTTACATGGATATAATAATATAATAGTAAGAGGGACATGATTAAAACTGGGAAAATGTATTTTTCATTTCATTTCATTCATTAACAAATTTCCCCCTGGGGATGAATAAAGTATATATCTATCTATCTATTCCACTTTGACTTTAGAGTTAATAACTATAAGATAGACGTCCTCAGTGTTTATTAGCTTATTATTATTATCATAATTAGCATTACAATAAAACTGATTCATATAATTAATAGATTAATAAAACAGTGATAAACTGTAAAATAATCATCAAGAAATAAGTAGAAATAAAGTAAAGATGATTTCTTCATTTGATCGATTTAACATTTTAGTACAAAGTACAGAAAACGTTAGTTTATTCTTAAGTTTTACTCAATCATTTGTCAAATTAAAGTTTAATATTATTAATATTATACAGTAATATACTAGGATATATATTTAACATAATTCACGTATATGACGATTAAAACAAAAGTAACATTTTAATGAACGTGTTTTTTAGACACTTTCATACCAATAAAGTGAGATAAAACGATACCTAGTACAACAATCTAATCATTAAGGTCCAGTATTCATTATCTTGATTCTTATTGTCGGGATTATCTTTATATTGAATACATTTACGTGTTTTGTTCCTGTCGGTCATCGAACGCCTCACTTGTTTTGTGTCCCAGCGGACCGTGAAGGTAGCACAGTCTGTTCTGATCGATGATTGGCTGCTGTTGTTGTGGGCGCGGCTCCCGTTGCTATGGGAACGTGTCTTAAGGAGGGATTTGTTAAATCACAGTTTGAGACTCTCGGAGCGTCGCGAATCATGCTAACATGCTAACCCGGGAATATTTACCGGGGAAAGAACGGAAAACCAAACAACGGAAACGGTAAAAACGATCCCCCGCAAGGGCTGATGGGAAACTGAGGATAGAGTTTGTTTTTTAAAAAGTTTTGAACAGTCTCTGTTCACCTGCTCTGCTGCTAGCCTGCTAACGGCTAACAGAGCTGCTAGCAGTTAAAAAGTTTGTGAGCTGGTTGAGGTGAGACAGGCCAGGAATTAGACGGACCCATGACGAAGGAAGGAGTTAGACACAACCCGATCCTGTCTGTCCTGTTCGGGATGACGGACGAGTCCGAGCCGGTGGGAGGAGCTCAGTTTATTAAAGGTACAGGTACATCAATACAGGTACATCAGTAGAGTTTATTAAAGGTACAGGTACACAGTTTATTAAAGGTACAAGTACTTCAATCTTTAGTTTGTTAAAGGTACAGGTACACAGTTTATTAAAGGTACAGGCACACAGTTTACTGAAGGTACAGGTACATCAATATAGTCCGTTAAAGGTACAAATACTTCAAAAGAGTCCATAAAAGATACAAATACTTCAATAGAGTCCATTAAAGGTACAAATACACAGTGTATTTAAGATAAGTAAGAGTTCATTAAAGGTACAAATACTTCAATAGAGTTTATTAAAGGTATAAATACACAGTTTATTTAAGTTAAAGAGTTTATGGTCATCAGATTGTTCTGTCATAACAAGTTTAATGTAGTTTATTCTCCGTTCTCTACACTGGCTACCTGTAAGAGCCCGCATCCAGTGTAAGACTCTGGTGCTAGCCTACAG